AGAGGTGGGACCCGTATCCACTAACAAACGAGAAATCCGTCGATGGGGAGAGGTAGCCAATGGGAAGCCGGGGATTCGGATCGGCTTTGTAAATTCGACCAATAAGGATACAGATAAGGCGTCGCCTGGGCCCGAAAGTACAATCCCCTCTCTCTCTCTCCTCCCCAAAAGTGCAAATCCAAGAGCTGCCTTCGCTGTTATATGCACTGTAAAAGCGAGGGCTGTGTAGCGCGCACACACACCCCAATTATTTCTTGCGCTCTTCACCTAAATAAAAGTGCATTCATCAAACAGTTCTGTGCACATTCTCGACTTCGCACTATTTTAAACTTTCTCCAAAAAGATTTTTGGATTTCAAATCTGGGGTCGAATTTTGATGAATTCTAGCAAGAAAGTGGCACATGCCGTCGGCGGAAAAACTGCCCGAGCGTGTGACAGCTGCATAAAAAAGAGAGCTCGTTGGTACTGCGCTGCTGACGACGCTTTCTTATGCGAAGCCTGCGACTCCGCCGTGCACTCCGCCAACGACCTGGCCCGACGGCACGAAAGGGTTCTCTTGAAGACGGCGTCGTCTCTCAAACCTAGCAACAAAGATGATCGAACGATCGCTGTTTCGAAGACCTCGGTGGCACCGTCATGGCACCGCGGGTTCACGCGGAAGCCGAGAACGCCGCGGGGCGGGAAGTCCATGACACATCATGGAAAATCCAAGGAAGGAATCCGGAACCTGTTTCCTCAGGTTCCGGAAGTTGGGGGAGACGATAATAACTCGTACGATGAAGAAAATGACGAAGACCAGCAGCTGCTTTATAGGGTTCCGATATTCGATCCGTCTGTTGCGGAGCTGTGCAGTAACTCTGGTAACTCTAGTGAAGATGCAGTGGCGAATTACGAAGCTAGCAATCTTAGTACTGTTTCTGATCATGTTGGAAGCCAATCCAAAGCAGTTTCGTCGTTGCCGAATTTTAACGGCCATGATGGGTTTCTTCTTCCGAGCGACATGGATCTTGCGGAGTTCGCGGCTGACGTGGATAGTTTGCTGGGGAGGGGCCTCAATGACGATCAGTGTTTTGGGATGGAAGGGTTAGGGTTGAGGGATTGTAAAGAAAAGGAATCGAAAGGTAGAGTGAAGTTAGAGGAGGATGATGATCAAGATGGAATAGACGGTGTTGATTTTATGGGGTGCCAATTGGGGGAGAGTGAGAATGATATGATGAGGGAGCCTTTTGTTTTGAATTTTGAAGATTATGATGACTCGCCTGCATCGTGCGGTGAGCAGGATGACAAAATGATAGTGGGAATCGATAGTAATTGTACCGAAGATCATGAACATGAGGAGGCGGACGAAGATGCAACAGATAACGGCAAGAAGAGGAAGACGATTTTGAGGCTGGATTACGAGGCGGTGATTACAGCCTGGGATGGCTCCCCGTGGACCTCCGGTGACCGCCCGGATTTCGACTCCGAATTTTTGCCTGACTACATGGTTTGTACTTCTTGCCCTAAGTCTTCAATTCTTTTCCCTTGGTATAAAATACAAGTAATATGGAATGTATATGAATACAAATGAGGTCTTCAGTGCAAATCTTATTTGCAATAATTTGTTGAAAGAAGTCTTAAGTTCAAATTCGTTAATTGATTAATAAACGCTTAATATAATTGATTATATATGTTGAGGAATACAATAAACAGAATTAACAAAGGACTATGTTTGTGAACCTTGCAGGGTGTATGTGGACCTGGACTTCATTACCCTTACGGAGATTTGAACGGAATCGGGGTACATCCGGCAATGGTGGACGGAGGGAGGGAGGCGAGGGTGTCAAGATACAGAGAAAAGCGGAGAACAAGGCTGTTCTCGAAGAAAATAAGGTACGAAGTTCGAAAGCTGAATGCCGAGAAAAGGCCAAGAATGAAAGGGAGGTTTGTCAAGAGATCATCCTTTGCCGGATCTGCTTTTCCCGTGCTTGCCAAATGAACGTCCACCGGTGGCTCGGCCCATAAGTTTACCTTGTAGTAAACTTGAGTTTGTGTATACATGCATGCAGCGTGTACATCCTTTAATTAATAAAATAAATATTTTTGACTGAGTTCATGAATATATATAGATATATATAGGGTTTAGGTCTACATAATTTTACAGATGTGGGCTCTCTGCTTGTTTCGTTGTATAAATAATCAATAACTTTCGTACCCAATTTTCTGTTGGAAAAAAAAGAAGCAATTATTTGCATCCAATTTGGATGCGAATTTTCTCCGTGGTAGCTATATATATGGGTTTCACTAGATTTATATGTTCATGCAAATCACTCCAGGTTAATTTCTCAGTCATTGAAAAAAGGGAGACATGGGATTCTGTTCCTAATTGTAAATATTCTTTGACTGAAACCTTGTTGGTTTTCAATTTTTGATCCAAGTCTCTGAAATTAATGTGATAATTTATTTCTATATACGTGTTTGGGCCCAAAATAATAGTTTGGGCCGAGTATAGAATCATTCTCGGCCCGGAAGGCCTTGCGACAAAAATGCCATGGATCGTTCAGTACGTGGGCCTCCAAACCTAGGTCGGCTAGGTCATAACGCAAGAAGTCAAGTCCTAGTGCAATGAGGAGTCTCGGCAGGACTAGTAACCCAGAAGCGAATCCGGCTCGGTTAAGGACTAGGTTCACAATCCTATTGAAAATAGGACTGGTCGAGTTTGGTGTTCATTAGGAGAAGAAGACCTAGTCCGAGTAGGGTTTTAACTCGGATTCAAAGAGATCCAGTGCTATAAATAGGGGAGGCTGTGCATCATTCAAGCCCCCTGCAAATAAATACAAAACTGCCCTGCGCAAGCTCTCAACAACTTGAGATTTTTTCTTTCTTTTTCGCTGACACATCTTCCGTTGGCATCAACAGCACTGTGGAAGCAATTGGTGATATCTTAAGTCGGCATAGATAGCTCTGTCACCGTAGAATCAGTCGATCTCGCAGTATCTTTCGTTGGCATCAATAACACTGCGGCGAGAACGGTTGGTTACCTATCCAAGTCTCGGTCGAGGAGGATTTCCGGGTCCTTATTGATTGAGGTCATCTCATTAGCCTTCTCGGCGAAGTGAGGTGTTACGGTATATCGAGCTCGGCGCATTGCATGCCGAGTTGTTTTATGATTGGATACTCCCAAGTAGGATTTAGAGTTCGGCATTCGGACAGCCGAACCACGTTCACCATCAAGACTTATATCTGTTTTGAGTATTGTGCCCTTACACTTTGGTGTCGATTCGGCGAGAGTTTACTCTGACGAATAACATCATTGTGACCGAATCCGACAACGACGATTCGTGAACTTCGTAAAGAATAGTAACCTTGTCTTCAGGTTCGAGAACCCAAGAGGCCGAGACGTGTTCCTTCCTCAGTCGCAATCGCAAGACGTAGAAGTCAGCCGCGCACCCAACGCAACATCAACAAATTTACTCCTCGGCCGACGAGTTGGCACGCCCGCATTCACCGAAGGACGTAGTTAGCTTATAGATTACTCGGCCTGCGCGCCACATAGGCTTGGTAGTTTCTAGGGTCAACAGTACGTTACTATATTTTTTAAATAAAATTTTGAAATTTATAGTTGTTTATATTAATGAGATTTTAAATGAAAACCATAATTTGTGGGATTAAAAATATTAAAATATAAATATACTATTGTGTGTGTGTGTCTATATATATAAACATGGGTACATTCATCAAAATTAACAAAAAAAATTATTGTATCAAAACATGGGTACATTCTTCAAAATCACAAAAAAAGAAGAAGATGATATTAGGCTTAATAAAATTAGTAAATTTCTTCGATTAAACTTAACATGGATACATTCTCAAATCAAAGAAAAAAGAATGTACCCATATAAGTTTAAAAATGGATTAGAAAAAAAATTGAATAGATTTTATATAAAAAAAGGGTACATTTTACATATAACAAATTGGTATATTTAAGAATGAGTACATTTTAAGATTAAAAATTTGAAAAAAAATTACATGAATGGTACATATAATTAGTATGGGTACATTTAGCAAAATTAAAAATGGGTACATATAAATAAAAAAATATGGGTACAAATACAAACAAAACTTTATAAAATATGGGCAAAAAAAGAAATTAATATAGGGTACAAATTAAAACTGAAAAGAAAATTGGTACAAATTAAAAAAGGATTGCAAATTAAAAATGAGTGCAAACTGAAGATAAAAATATATGATAAAAAATTTAGCCATAAATATAAATATACTAATTGTAACATTTTAACATTAAATGAATATATTTAGAAATAAAAATATTTTATTATTGAAATTAATATTTATCTGTAGTAAACGGATAAATAAGGTTTTAATCAATGAAGTAGTAAACGGAATGATGAGAACCTAATTTCTCCTTGAAAAAACGTAGTCAATTAACACCTCTGCATTTGTTTATTGTAAAATGATTAATTTATTAATCCATTTCTGCATCCAAAACAAGGTCTACGCAGGTTGCGGATTATTTTCAAAGATAATCGAGCAAAACTTAAAATGGGAATTCAGTTTTCTTATTTGGTATTGCAGAGATTGAGTTACAGCACAAGACATGAAGTATCCTGCGTTGGCATCTCTGATAAAATTATTCCGTGTCATCCATGCAAGTGTCTTTTCTTAGTTTTTTTGTTCATATGACTCGGAACCCACAAACACATTACCCGTCACTTGTTTCTTTAGATTGGACAACTAGTCTTGTGAGACGAAAGAAGGGACTGATATATGACTTGCAATTTATTAGACCTACAAATGCATGTGTTCCTTTTGCGACGATCATTAGTATCGGGGGTTGCTTCTCTCCAATTGTTCTCTAGGCTTGATAGAACTTGGGTTCCGTATCAGCTTTGCGCGTAGTTTGACTTGCCTAATCCTCTCGTTCTTCGAAGATTCCTAGTCTTTTTCAGGATGGTGATGTTGTATTCGTAATGTTATATTCAATTTAATTATTCAAAATAAAAAGGAAACAATTCACACTTTCGGTGAAGAACTGGCACATTAACGATCTTGACTGAAATTTACATATATGAATCGCCAAATGCGAAATCTAAAGTAAATGTTTTTGCTTGCGCATATATGTATACATCTGTCCTAATTCTCTTACACCAAAACAGAACTCCACTCAAAATTTTAGCCGACACAGATTTTCTAAGCAAAAAAGTAACACAAAAAGGAACAGCAGTAAAAACACAACCAACTCAGATCCCTTCCCGCATTGCATGAAGCTCATTTGTGCTTTACTCCTCGTAACTTTCCTTTCCACTTGTCACTCCCTCAAACATCCACATCACAAACTTAATAACTAATTAATTAATTAAGATGGGTTAGAGGAGGTAACCCAAGACCAAGAGTCAGCTCCAACCCTACCTCTCCATCTTGATCATCAGCAGCTTGTTGATCTCCGCTAGACCCGTTTCCTTGCGGAATCGGGTACAAATCATCCGGGTCTGGAACATTACAGAGTTGTGCCAAACTCTTGGTGTTTGACCCGGTTGCAGATTCTGGTTGGATTTTGGGCCGGTTCATGAACCTCTTGAGCTTGTTCCGGGTTGTAGCTTTGTTATGAGAGGAACTGCCCGAGGTTGGGTCCCTGGACACGTGGCGTATGTCCCCGGATTTGTGAGGAGGATCCAGGTTCGGATTCGTGTTCCGCTTCAGCACATCCGCATCAATTCCTATGATGGGCGATCCTTCAAGAACTGCATCAACGGCTGCCTGGCATTGGTCCCAGCCCCCGGACCACATCAACCCCACCGAGCCGTACGTCGGGTTCACGATCCGTCCACACGCCTCGTACAATAACGACTTGAAAATAGCTAATAGAAAATCACAAACAATTTTAGAAAATTCAAAATTGTAATTTGAAGAAAGGAGAACAAATCATTATCATTTTTTTTAAAAGAAAATCGTATAAATTAATTGAATATGGGCGATATTATTTTTTTTTAGAAATAATTTTCTAACATCTGTTTGTTTTTTCTTTTCATATTGCAAAGTCTACACATTCCTAGTTATTAATTCTGTTTTTTAATTTATTCAACTCGAAATTAGAAACAAACAGAATGGTGCGACTGACTTAGCTCATATGTGCATGCAATATTGAAATGAGTTTGGATTAATTTTTCACTTACCAGGGCGGAGGGCTGGGGAGCCAGCATTGATGAGATTGAGGAGGCCAGCGCGGCCATAGAATTTGGCAAGAAAAAGTGTGGCGTTGGCTTGGGACTCGGAGGATTTGATCCACTCAATGCAGGGTCTGATCTCGCATTCGTCGCTGCACCCTTTGCGAAGCACCCTGCATCCGTTGCAGCTCATTCTCATTCTCTCCAAACTACAATGTGAATGGAGGAGATTGGAGGTGTATTTAACAGAGTTGGTGAGGGGCATTTCCGGCATTTCGGGGGTGGTGCGCAGTGGTTTTTGGAGGATTGCGAGTCGAAAACCGGAGGTTTTGTGTGCCACCTTCCAGTTTAGGTTAAAAAGTGCTCAGGGAAAAGTAGAAAACCAGCTGACTGTTTTTGTGCTTTCCTCTTTTACTACAACCCTGCATGCAGACTTATATTACGAACCGACCATGGTAATAAAATATAAAGCTAATCCACTTTTATACGTTTGCAAGGCAATAGGTTAGATTTGGTAATACAATCTGACTCATAGACACGCTGGATTCCAGGGGTTTTAGGTGTTTAACACTTTGGGAAGCAAATTAAAGTCAAATCATTAGAATTAACCACCAGAAATTACAAAGAGCTAGGCTATGTTGATGGAGAAATTTTGTGTGTACTCGGAACAAAATGTGATGCTTTATGTTGTACAATATAAGTGATGACAGTGTTAATGTACCACTTTATAGTATAGCTCTCAATGTTTCTCTACTTATATTATGATAGTGTACCATCTTGTGGATTTGTAGAGAATGTAGTCTTGTGTACTACCTTTCAGAATTATGGTAGTTTTGGGCTGCACATGGATTATACTAGATTTCGATGGGTTTTTATTGTTATTTGTGCGGATTTTGTCTGCTTTAGTTTAGCTGTATTTACGTTAAAGTTTCTGCAGTTATTTTAACGTTTGTGATTTTGGTCAGTTTCTTTTGTTATTAGTGCGGATTTTGTTTGCTTTAGTTTAGTTGTATTTACGTTATTGTTTTTCCATTTGAGAAATGTTTAGGAGGTTCTTTCAAAGTGGACTCTACATAGACTCTTGCCACATCACAGTAACATCATTTCCATGCCAAAATTATAAAATATTGTGAAAAAAACATGAAGTGTTAGAAAGTCTATGAAAAATCTGACTTTTGAGAGTCTCCTTAGCATTTTTCCTTGCATTTATATTAAATTTGTGTCTTATATACCCATTTAATGTATTGTTAAGGTTTATTTGAAATTTTATTCTCATTCTATTTTATTTTTTAGTATTTACTATTGGGCATCATTTTATTTTCGAAGGAAAATGCAGAATTGTAATTTAGAGATAATACAGGGGCAGAATGTGTGAAAGCAAAGAAGAAGACAAGAGATGATTTTTTTTTTACAAACGATATTATCTACACTAAGGGGAAGGGTTGAGTTTAGCCTGACTATAAGCTAACAATAATGTATTTTAAATTTACCTTTGACAAGAATCGAACATAAGATATTTCATTTACAAATGAAGATAAATTAGCGACATCAGATGAAAGTAGGACATGATGGACGGGACAAATGATTACCTGGCACGTGACACGCACGTGGCACATGAGCTTCGGACCGCCTCACAGAAGCACGCTCCAGATTGCCAGGAATCCGGAATCAAGTTTGACGTACGGATTCCCTGGATTTAATTCCTGAACTGGACATGGTGAGTGGCCCATTATATTGGGCCAGTGGTTCTGCAAGTTCCGATGACCCAGTCCATGTTAACTAATTTAACTGTTGTCACTAATTGCTACATTGACTATAATCTCTATGTTTAATTGGTGCGGTAATTGCTAAATCTGTGCATCAGACACTGAATTCAAAAGGAGTTGAGTTCTTAATTGGTACGGTAATTTTCTACTAATTTATGTCTTGTGATGGTTTTTGTTGAACGGATAAAAGAGTATCAAATTACGGCGGAATTAGACCAAATATTTAATATTCTCACCAATTCTTATATGCCTAAGAGGAATGTGAGCCGGACTTTTGGTTAAATCACGAGAAAGATTCCGGGCATAAAAGATTTTGCAGTTAGGTAAAAAAAGAAGAGAGAGAGAGAGAGAGAATAGAACGGAACCGATCGCCACGAATTATTACAGGGCAAGAGAAAGAAACGACAAGTAAGTACAAGACTTTTTTATCAACAAACATGTCGTCTTCCCGCTTTCACAAATTGGGTATTCCTAATTAAATTTTATTTTCCGGTATTTTTGTTTCAAACATCCAAGAGTCCTTAACCGACAACCCCAAAGGTTTTCTTGGATGGGGCATGCAAGAACAACTTTACAAGTTAAGCTTGACTATGAGTATGATACATCACACATCACATTATGCGTGTGCGAGCATCTGAATGTTCATGTAGCATTACGAAGTTACTCTTCTTGCGGGTTATGACTCATGAGAAATTGTGTTCTTCAATGCATACTTATAAAAAAAAGACTTAGCACGAAATAGAACAAATTTACAATTGTCATAGCTTTCAAATTAATAAATAAAAAGCTGTGCTCTTCTATCCCTCAACCATATAATAATTCAGTTTGACCCATTCATGATTTTCATTTTGGTTCCAAGAAATAAAAAAGACTAAACAAAGGACAGAGAAAAAAAAAGAAAAAAAAAGAAAGAGTTAAAGCTCCCATATAAAGGAAAATTAATGAAAATGATCTAAAAACTTTGAGTTTTAAGGCAAGGACAAAATAAAGAGTAGAGTGAATAGTATCAGGTTTGACTTTTTAATCCAAAAATGTAATTTTTCGTTAAATTAAATAGTATCATAAGCTTCTCGTTAAAACTCGCTAAATATAAATAGTAGTGTCATTGAATATTGCATCGAGAAGCTAAATTGTGTTGATGAACAAATGATGATGATGATGAAGGTGGAGGGTAAAAAAAAAAAAACATATATATATATATTATATTCCACATCCAAAAGCTAGCAGACAAACGAATCTAAAGTTTTACCATCCTTCGCCGCATAAGTCGTGGCGTTTCTCACATCGGTTTCTCTGCCGCCCTTCCTCTCTCTCAGAGTTTCAGTCTCCTCCTCCACCCTCCTCCTCCTCCTCCTAAAACAACCAAAATACCAGAATACGAGGGCTCTTTTGTTTTGCTTGTTAACTTGATCATATCCATATCCAAACAACATGCACCATAAAATCGAAGAATTAATATCATCAAAATTATTACTCTGCATAATGTTTGTCTGCATGCACTTCTTATGCAACCAGACAAAAGTACTTTTACAAGAAAATCACAAACTTTCTGTGTTACGCTACTTTACAAACGCTAAAGACCATCCAACATTACTATACCCTTTTTTCACAGTTTAATGATCATTTGAATATACATCTCTCCTGTTTTGTGTTTTTCACATGTTTGCAAATCCCACTCAAAACCCTAGTTAATTAACTGATCAAAAGCACTTCTCCATCATGGCTTTCAACCTCCAAAAACCGCTTTCTGAAAAAGCTAAAAAGCCATGGCGAGATGTGATGTAGAAAAGCCGGACTTGTTGGGTTTTTGAGTCTAAATAAATCATTTTTATTGTTAAAAAAAAACAAGTAAAAAAGAGTCAACGGCTCAGGCCTTGATGGCCTTAAAATATGTGGCCAGGTCCAGCAACTATTCAGACACCTTGATTAGAAAGTGAGACCGATGTTACGATTTAAAGTTGATTGCTGGTTAAATAGCTTTAAGCTTTCTTAAGGAGGAGAGGATAGTGATGGAAGAATCAAACTTCTTTACCAATTTAAGAAATAAGACGGCAACGAAACCCTATACAGGATAGCGGAGGAAGACCTTACCAGATACGCCAAACCCAGAGACTATAACATTTATTTATGGTTTTTCATCAGAAAAGGCAAACAAACTCACAGACTCATTCAATCATGTCAGAATAATAATATACTGATCCATCGATCGATCGAGATTTAATAAAGAAGATCTAACGTTTCAGGGATTTGCTTCGAAGCCTAACGTTAGATCATTAGTCGAAGATACAATAAAAAAGATCTAACGGTTAAAAAATTCAAAGTTTTTGTTATGCTTCTTGGAACTCGACTCTAATCTAACTGTGGAAGTGGCTGGACTCTTTTGGGGGAGGGAGATGAGGTGGCATATAGGAAGACATGTGGGAAACAAGTCATCAAGTTAGTGGGCTCCGCTCATGCCACGTAGGTGGTTTACAGACTTATGAGTCATGGAAAGCGAAGCAAAAATCAAGTTTCAGGGAATTAAGTGGTGATAAGAAACTTGTAGGAAAAATATTCCTTGCAAATGTTGAAAAAACAAGAGAGCAGAAAATGCGTATGTATTGTTGTGTTGGAAAGCGAAGAATCTCTCTGTTTTGTAATTTTGCAAAAATATTTATGGTCTGCCAACACTCTTTCTCTGATGACGATATATATTCGATCTTCTGAATATCTCAAAAGCAAAGCTAAAAGATCAAAAGATGTTTAGGATCTTGAAAAACTAGTACAAACGTAAGGAGATTCTATCACATCACTATCTATCAAAGAAATGCTCGTACAAATTTCTCAACTTTTCTATACAAATCTTGATTCATGATCCATCAATCTCAAGAAATTATAAAACTAGATTAATTAACCATTAATCCAAAATACCCCCGGTTTTCTCACTTCATGAATTACCAAAACATAATGAATAGAACTTGACAAACGATATGAGAAAAACGTGGGTATTTTGGTTTTAATTCAAGAAATATTTCCTAAGAAAAAAGGCAATTTGAATAATTTGACTAGTTGTGGAGTTTATCTGGGCAACTGGGCACTCTTCTTTTGGATTCTTCATATCCTTTTTCTGTTTTGTTGAAGTTGGAACTGGAAGTGCTTCCGCCGAAGTACTTTTGGAACAGGGCTTCTGTGCTTATCTTGCTCTTCTTCTCCCTCGTGTTCCTCTCTGCTTCCACCTGCACCTTTGATATGACATTATCTGTATTTCCTGGGAATACCCGTATTGCCCCTGCCCTGCAATCGCAGCAGACCCAAATCTGTAACGCCGAAACGACCAGAATCACCAGCAGGGAAGAATGCAGAAGCCTCCAGCAACCGGCGCACGACATTGCCGGAATATATGTCCAGCTACATGAATCACCAAAGCTCTCTCTCCCTCTCTCCTCTTTCTGCCTTAATGAGCTCTTTAAGCTAATGTTTGACCGTTAAAATGCCAAGTTCTGAATTTTATATCTTTCTCTTTCTCTTTCTCTCACTGTCTGTCTCTCTGTCTTTCGAGGCTGTGACTTATGAGCAACGGATTGACGGCTATTCTATGTAGAACAGAGAGAGAAGGAAAGAGAGGAGAGAGACAGGACTGAGGGGAGAGAGAGAGGGGCAGAGAGAAATGGAGCCTAGCTACTATACGCCCACAGTGGTCCACGTGAAGAGGAAATAGCAGCAGTCCATGTCTCAGCTCTCTGTATTTTACCTTATAACTCTATTTTTTAAAATTTAAGAAAACTAATGAAAAGTCCAAAAAAGTTATAGTTTTAATGAAAAATGATAAATAAAAATGTAGTGAATAGAATCAGGAAAATGTAAAAATATGATTTTTCGTTACAAATGAACTGTACAAGAGTGTTTCGTTAAAACTCCCTTTATTTTATCCTTAAAAAAAAAAAAAACAGGATCTACTACTAATCATCATGATTCATGGATGCTATCTTTTATGGAGTATGATTCTTTTCTCTCTTTAATTTCCTTAATTTTTTTCCTCTTCTCTCACACTTTTTTTGTGTCTCTTTATAAAAAAGTTGATATGACTTAATTTTAACCGTTCAAAACAGGAGGAGACTGAAGGAAAAAGAGATTAAGAGATGAGAGAATTCTAGTCCATTTTTTATTAATTCACTTACACAATTCAATAATTTATGGCTTTTTTACAAAATGATATATAATTAATAGTAAAAAGTACCCTGCAACTTGCATTTTGTTGGAATACTAGCCATCACGCACACATGAAGCACACGCGCCTGGTGCAAAAAAAATTATAACATGGGTGGCATCACCCTAACGTCACATGGCCTCAGGCGCAAGGTCAGGCTATTAGTGCCCGACTCCTCAGTCTAGTAGATCAAACCCCCTCTGATATCAAACATGGGTAGATTAACATTGATATTGTTTTGAATTTAATAACATGCATAATCAAGCATATGTGAAATTCTATACATAGACTTCGATTCAATTAGTAGTGAAACTACTCAATATATGTTATGTTGTATTTGAGTCCGTTAGTGTTCGACGTAAAAATACTCGCGATAGTATATTATACGACAGGTGTATAATATACACTGTAAATAAGGGCTTTGTCACTAATTTGGCCATCGTTAGGGTCAAGAAAGTTAATTACTGATGCGCTGCTCCTGCACTTGCTGCAAATGTATGCGCAAGTGTCTGATTACCGATGCATCACGCTAGAAATCAGCATGTCGGTGACGCTGTGAGAGTCAAAACAAAACAAATTAAAAGTGAAAACAAGGGCCGCACGCGCTTTGCAGAGCGTCTCTGTTATTATGCAAACAAATCCTAGGGAGGGATTGCGAGCCAAGTACCACACTCGAGCATGAGGGAGAGAGAGGCAAATTCTGAGTTTTTACCACGCGGGGAGGTGAACGGTGAACCACACTCTCCAATTATATGGTAAATAGTAAATAGTAAACAGTAAAGAATATGTATGTAATGTGTGAGATGGAATTTGGGGGATTAAATATGGAAACGTGTATGGGATTGAGGAGGAGAAGACCGGCCGGGAATCCCGCGGCGGTGCTGGAGACCAATATTTGGGTGTATAAGTAATAACTTTCTCGTACCGTCGTACGTATGTCCTAATTAATTGTTAATTAGTACTATAAATTACTAAATTAGGTGCCAAATTTGATGCAATCTTGTGAGCTTCTTGAAGACACAATTGTCCTCATAAATCACTTGGGAGTTGGGGCTTGTGATGAAAATGTGACAATGTTTTAGTTGGGGCATATCTATTGTTCGGTGCTGGGCAGCTGATCACTATCCCAGTTAATCTTTAAACATTTGAAAATTATATAAATGTTGTTAGACCTGTTTGGACGTCCGCCTAGCTCACATGAGTCGCTGCTCTTACTTAAGATATAAAATAGATAAACTTTTATTTTGCATTTTATTATGTTCAATAAATTTTAAAAGACTTATTTTATGTATTCCACATTCCAATCCAATTATTTATTTTTAAGTATAAATAGACATTTATTTATACTCTATAATCTATATGGCACTCGATCTTAATTAAATGGTACGTGGTTATTTAGTTTTTGTTGTATTTCCTCTCGACAATTGGATTAATATTGAACTGTGTGTGACTACAATTTTCTTTGAAAATGAGATCTAGGAGATTATGGCATTATTAACTCATTGCCAATTGAAGAAAGCAAGAGCTGTGTCTTTTGGGCATCGACCAAAGTTAATGGGGTCCTTTTGAGAAGAAATGAAAGGAAACCCAGAAATTGATTAGATAAAAACAGTGCCAAACTGTTGAATAAAACTGGTTAAGGACCCATGAAAACTGGAAAAGAAAACAGATAGATGGATGAAGACACAGATTGCCTAACCCGCCAAGTTCCATGCTAGGACATGCATTACTCTATTATTAAACAAAACTTAATCAATGTTTTTCAAATGTAGACAATTATTTAAACATATGATTAATTGCAAAGAACTCGGATTATGCATTACGAAAGGAAAATAACAACGGTACACATTTTAATCATCTTACTTATTTCTTCTTATTTTTCACTATCAAATTGAATAAGTCAAACGACAACAAATAAAAATTAAAAGAGTTTGCGATTATTATGCCGGATTTGTAAGAATAAACTAGACTTAAAAGATTAATACGCTAGCCAAGAACACAAGGATTAATCAACTAAATCACAATCCTTAAATTATGTATGTAATATACCAGCACATACCTGTAGACATGTTCATGGATGAAGAAGCCATGAAAACCTGCACACAACCTTCTCCTCTCTGCAAAACTCAATGCTCTCCAAGTTATAGATAATTGGATCAATAAGAGCGTGCTTTGTGAGAGCAGGGGCTTGTGGCTTTATACTACAAGTCCTGAATTGCCCTATAATAATCCTACAAGGAATACAAGATTGCATTTCTTATATCAGTATGAGTCTTCCGAACGAGCAAACATAAGAAGAGTCCTTAATATACTAATATAATTGGATGAACTTTGGTCAACATGATTCAGACTTCTTTATAATATCAATTATCCTCAAAGATTTATAAGAATCATACTCATACTCTTACAGGATTTTCAAAGATATTGTTCGATTGATCGACTAACCAGAGTGGTAATAGAAATGCTGTTCTTTTACCAACAATCATTGTCTTGGGTGCATTGATAGGAAAGGTACGACTGGCGTACAAGAATTGTCACTTCTATGTTAGAAATTCAGATGGGACTTTGAGGTGGCAAATATCATTTAAAGCTTTTCAACGGTACCTGGTATGGTTACAACTGAATTATTAGTCATGGTCAAATAACTTTGCAGGGCCGTATTGGTAAATTTAATTTCAGAGCACGGTTAAAACTCAACTATTTTTTTTGGTGAAGATTAAAACTGAACTTTTGACACTATATTTTGCGCATAATATGCACCGGTAGATAACAAAATTTTACCTCAACGTATTTCAAAGTTGAAGATAAGTGGTTTTGTTTTGTGATTTTAGTGTGCCTGAAATACGGATTGATACATCATCTTATGTCATCCCGTGTTTTGAACAGATCATAAAATCTTGTTGTTTGGACTTTTATCATCCTCTCTTAGTTATTTTTGCCATTTTCTTATCCCCTCTTTTATTGCATTTGCCATATTCTTCTTGGCCTCAACTCTCAAGCCACCTACTAATTATTCCCTCCTCCCCATCTCTCGCTTTCTCTAACGCAAACATTGAATTTCAACCAAAATTTCTCTGCAGGTCAATAGAGGTGGGTACGAAATAATACAACCACATTGATTCAGGTTTGGATCGGAATGGAGAATGGATGGATTCATGTGCAACCGGTTTGTACAATTTGTGAGATGTCTAAAAAGAAAGAGAGAGAAATGGCAAAACCAAGGGCTGAACCGATCTAACCTTAAGCCGAATCAACCGGTTCATTCCGACCTAGTTCACTAGTTCAAGTCTATTCAGTAAATGACAATACTAGAGTACTCACTCGTGAATACTAAAATTTACTTACCTCTGACAGGTCCAATAACAAGAAGACATGTGTATTGGGATAAAGTTTTGGAATACACATGTTATAATACTATGGGGCCACATTAGAGGTGATTCAAATTAGTAAATGGGGAAAAAAAATGGGATAACTTGAAATAGATCCAATTTTATGGCCCAACATTAGAATTAATCCAATTTTTAGTTTTTTTTTATTTAGGTCTGATGACTAGGACATCATGTCAGCACTTTTGGTTGTTAGGTTGACTTTTTTACATTGTGATCACTATTTTATCCTTTTATAGCTTTTAAACGTTGTCCATAGATTTCCCACGTTTTAGATTTGTATCATCATCAGTTATCTATCATAAAAAAGAGTAATTCTTCAGTTTCTTTCATCTTCTGCTTTCCGATTTCTTGATAATATTTTTTTTGAATTTTAGATACTTATCAATCTATTTTAAGGAGGCTTTTAATTACTTATGTTAGGTTCCTTATTTATCGGCATTACCTAAATTTCTGTTGATCTTTTACAATCTAAGCTACCTCTCATACAAGTGTTTTACAATCTAAACTACCTGTCATATAAGTACTTGTACTAGCTAAACTACCTATTGTATTGTAACTACCTCCCCTGGTGGAACATGTAATTTTACATTTTTTATTTTTTTGATCAGAAACATGTAATTTTACATGACTCGTTTTCAACAATATAAGGTGTAGTCCTCCATCTTGGTAATGTCAAAAGCTCCTGAACACACAATCAATGTCAAAAGCCAGTGGAGCAACACTTATATAACACAATCACATATAAAGCTCGCCAATCATGTATTTGAAATCTCGTGGGGATGTGCCATGCTTGTTGTCCAGGTAGCAAATACCAGAAAAACCCAAACCAGATATTTGTCATGTTTGCCTTCATCATCTGCAGAGATGCTCCTTATAGTTCTAATAGCTTCATACGAATTCGAGATTCAAATTTGGATGCTAATCCGCATGAATCGCAAGGAATATTCAAAACAGGAGTGGGTTAGGGTTGTCGAAATCGTGATTTGTAATTTATAGTTCAAGTTAATTTCTGGAAGAGTCCTAATAAAACATTCAATGGCAATTGATGTAATTTGATTTTGGCAATTGATATAATTTGATTCAAAGTATGAACGCTTTAATTGCTGATGTGGATGATTGCTCTACTTATTAGACTTCACCTATGACTGTGTAATACATTGGACCTGTATCAGAACAAGCTTATAAAATTGGACCCATATCAAAAGACCCCAAAATAAATTTCGCAACCTCATTTTTCTCCTTGCACACCCATAAACATTTTCAGCTTGAATTGAATAAATTAAACGAGAAAGGACAAATATTAACGCTGTGTAGAAAGCGAAAAGAAGTGTGGAAATCATTTCCCTTTGCTAAAACAGTACGATCCAAAAATTAAAAGCAAAATAACGTAGCAGATTTGAAATTTTAATATTGAAAGTGAGTCGTCAACCACCAAAACTTAATAATTCTGCAACTTGCATTTGCAAGCATTCATACAGGTACTTAGTACTTACATATATAAATATTCACCAGATAAAACCAAGGTAATTGACACACTGAAAAGTATGGTATCACAGAGGCATCCCATACTCAAAACATCAATATGCAAAACTTTGAAGCTAACTAGTACTACGAATTGATTCTATGCATACCCAGTCATCCCGACAGTTGAACTCGAACGATTTGCTTTATGAGTTGCTTGAGCAGCAGTTGCCTTGGTGAAGTACATGTAGTAATACACGTTGAGAATCATAGTCGCAACCACAAATACTGCTCCAGAAACGAAAACACCTTTTCGCAAGGCTTCACAGGAGAAGTTCTGAGCATATATCATCCCCCGGTACTTGGTGTGATAGGCATTTTTTGTAGCACCAGCAATTAGACAAGCTTCTGCAACCAGAAAAGTTGCCCTGCAGATACACAAAATGCAGCAAATTATAAAGGTGGAGTTCAAATACATGGATTGATTGAAGAATAATATCTTCAATCAATTCGTCCTAAGGCCAAATGAAGGAGACTAAACATTCAACTAAATATTCATACAGAAATGTTTACCAAACTTTTTAAGTAAAGAAAACAAAAGAAACTGGAGCAAAAATGACGGGCAAGTTAAAGCAATCCGGAGGTTGATGTTGTTGCATTTTTCAAGATGGGGTTCCTTAATTAAGGAACGTAGGACTGCTCACCATGATGAAACAAAATATATAATGGACCAAGCTCGATTTCCACCAGGGGCCAAGGGTCTGCCAAAACACATGCACTTCGTGACACCCATGAGGAGTGATTCACCTGAGAGAAGAAACAAGAAACCGCCTACTCCATAACCAGTTGCGACATCTGAATTATACACACAGTACGTTTGATTTGTTTGAACATCTGTACGTATTTCGCCCTGCCAGGAAATGAAGTTTCTTTATAAATTGATGTTACAAAATATGGACCAAGATTCCACCATGCCAATTGGTAACTCAGACAGTAGGCAAGCATTCAAAGGATAGAAATGGAACTATCATGCTACCAATAAAACATACCTATATTGATATCTTAGTAATGGAATGGAGTCAAACCCGCTTCCTTTCCATTTTTGTAATCAACATCCATTACTTTTTCGCATTAAGTTTATACCAGAAGAAAGAAAAAAGGAACCAATCGGTAGAAACCTCTTCTGTCTAAAACCTCATCACCAATGCTACCAGAAATAAGTTTTAGATGAGAAAATGCCGAAAAGCTAAAAATCAACAAGTTGACTATAATACTTATACAAGAATCAAACCTTGCAATATCAAAGGTTGCAAACTTTTAAATTTTCTCTATTTCACACTTTTTAATTTGAAAATTCATCATGACACACGAATATGCAGACTAAAAAACTCCAATCCAACTGACGTATGAATTGCCTCTTCATATACGCCCACACGAGAATGCATAATTCTTCATAAACAAATTCATCCCCTTAAAATAAAGAACGCATTGAGTCGTACAAATGGAGAAACAAAATCCAATGACCAAGAAAGCATGGTACATTAACTTCTCAAAACAGAATGTTCAAAAGGATAAGTACTAGTCTAACAGCTGTGAGAAAATCAAATTTTCTGCGGGCAGCCCTGAAACTCATTATTTTGCAATTCAGGATGATAGATCACCTATTCAGTTGTATTTTTACTACTCTACCGATCAAACGACTACATAACCACTGCCAGCAACTTTTACACAGTTTCAAATATAGATACACATTATGAATGAGCTGGGAGATGGTCATTCTTATTGTGAAAGTTTCATAAAATAATCTCTTGCATTCGCCAAGATCACACAATGACAATGGCAACAATTTAACCCCGAAATTGAGAAGACTCGACTCCAACAACAGGCATTACAAAGCAATAATGCTCATTCCTGTGGTAGCAATTCAGCGAAAAATTATGAAAATTAAATCATATAGTAAATGAACTAAATCGCATATGGAAATCGCCACCCTCAGAATCTTCGAGAATTAAAAAAAAAAGGGTAATTTAGAAAAAGAACCATCAAAATTTCATATCCTTTCTGGCACTGTTTTGGTAATTGAGTGAAATTCAGAATCCTCATTTGTGGATATCCTAGAAAAACCCAAAACCGGAAAAACAGTTTCACCATCAACAAATCTACCCCAAAAATTGTAACAAACCCACTTTTCCAATGCACTAATTACAAATTCGACAACATCCTTAAAAACCCTAATCTTTTACACAGCACAAAGAGTACGGAACAAAGCATCAAAACACACAACACATGAAAAGTAAGCACAAAGAAACAGATCAAGATACAAAACAAAGACTTTGGGAAATGCCACATTCAAAACCCCAAGTTTAATTACAATTCAAACCGCAAAATTAGAAGAAAAAGAAAAGAGGGGTTACCACACTTCTTTGTCTCTCAGCAGCAATGGCGAACCCAAAGGCCACTAAGCTCAGAACCACCACAAGCAGGTGCACCAGAGTCGAGCCCTTTCCTTCTCCCATGGCTTCCTTCCTCCTCTCCCACCTCCCTCCTCTCTCTCTCTCTCCCTCTGCGCCTGTGTGTACACTGTGTAGGAAAGTTGAGCACGAAAAAGAGTGAGACTGAACAAAAAGCGACAACTTTCTTTGAACGCAGTGTGAGTTGCAAAGCACTGTAAGCT